TACTGTGTTTTGCAGACAGAGTTACAGACTCTCTCCTAGACCACAGACTCATAATACAAGTCAGAGCTTTATAAAAAAAAAAAAAGAAAAAATACTATATACTTTTTAAGAACTGTATAACAAACACTTTAAAGAGAAGAAAAAACACAGTTTTACTTAAAAAAAAACAACAACCAATTTTCAGGTTTGAGTTCACATCTCATGGAAAATTAATCAAATAAAATCTATCTCACTTCATCTTAGTTTTCCAATAAATAAAACACAGCAGCCTCTGATGGGCCAGATCTTCCAGATCATCTGTCATTTAAAAAAAACAAAACTTGAATATGTCTTTATCAGCTATGTCAGCAGGTTCAATTTCAAGATCACCCAGTTTTACTCCTGTAAATACGGATATGTTCACTGTGATGGGTCCATCACCAGGAAAGGTTAATGTTTCTTTTTCTTTCACCTTTCTGATTTCACTGAATCTTTTCCCAAGTGCAGTTTACATTACTATGATTGCATATTGCAAATGCTCACGTTTTATGTGATTGCTTGCTCTGAGCTCTCTCGGGAAGGGGAAAAGAGAGGATGTATCTTTCTGTAGATCTCAAAAATGATTTTGTGCTTGAACACCAATCCTGAGGTCCGTTTTTCCTTTTCTTCATTCAGCTTGTTGTGGTGACATCTTATATCTACCACGAAGTGCAGCTTTTCAAGCCAATCTGCAGTTTCCAGTTGGGATAGGTGAAGTTTTCACGTTTCACACGCTCAGCAAATTGTTTTAGCCCCTCTCCCTTTGACAGCCACCAGACTTTGTCTTGCAGCAAGAGATTTGATGTGAGAATAGGTGCACTGATAATTTTATAAATTGTTTTTGTTTTTATGTATTCTCCATCGGTGAATGGATTTTGTGTCTTACTATCTCATGAGCTACCAGAAAACTAGCAGCAATAATTGCATTTTTATTGAACAAGGTCTAAAAAAAGCATTTGGTCTGCTTAGCAGTTCCAGTCCCTCTTTTTTTTGTTTGTCTCCAGCTTGGTGCTTTTCAGCAAACTTGGAAACGTCTTGCGACACTGCAATTAAAAAAATGTTATTAAACATCGGGCAAGTCAGCGTAATAAGTGGTGAAAGCAAATGAATCAGTCAAAATGGAGAATTACGAATTACGCACCAGTTTCCCCCTAGAGTTTTGTTCTTCGGACTAATCCACGGTTAGCTTGCCGGAGCTCTCTCGTTATTAGCCACTGGCAGGGAAAACACGGGAGAGCGAGAGGTGTGGTGGTATTTGCAATTTTTGTTTTATTAATACGTTTAATAAAACTGAGTATAGAATAAATAAATATAAAAATAGTTTGTTTAAAATTGTCTTAGTTTTGTTTTATCTTTTTTTACCCTGAAAGCTTCCAGCAGCCACAGCTAGAAGAGGGCAGGTTGCCGACCTCTGAGCTAAAACAAAACTCTAAATGGATACCAACCCTGCCCTAATCACCAGAAACGGAGAAAACAAAACAAAACAGAAGAAAGCTGTGAATCCCATTTTCAGATTCTTTGACCCTTGTTAATTATCCAGTACTCCTCATTTTCTAATCCAACTGCAAATGTTTTCTTTTCAAGATCATCCATGTGCTCACAGCAAGGTTTGGACCAATAACAGTTCTTTATTAGCAAAATATGACTTCTTATAAAAACATACAATTACAGATAAAAAAAGTTTATTCATACTTTTGTAAAAAGCAAAAATACAACTTGAATTCCAGGACAGTCTGTCAATTTGAACAAAATGAAAACTAAGACTTTCAAAAAGCATGAGCCAATATTTAATTCACAACAGAACATGAATAACACTCGGATTGTGTTGGACACTTTTGTTTATGTAAGTTTGTATTGTAGTATATTGCATTGTGTTGTATATACAATTGTTGTATTTCTATCTTTTTATCTTGAGGGCTGGGGGCTATGGGAGCATTGCAATTTGAAATTCCTATGTGTGCTCTTTGCATATGGTTTTTGACAATAAAGCTGACTTTGATAACATAATAGCATAGCATAGCATCTTTATTTATAATGCACTTTACATCCAACAATGTTGACCAAAGTGCTACAAATATAAAAAAAGAGAGGAACCAGTTTAAATTACATATAAAATATCTTAAAATTAAAAATAATATAATTAATAAG